AGGCCTAGGTCTTGTAGGAAACCAGTAGTCCTGATAGCAGGAAAACATGTATTCCCTTAAGTGAAATCCAAAAGAACAATGTAAGTTCTTAAATAATGTGCTAAGTACCATCGTGTAGCTTAGGACCACGTACTATCCCTAGGAGCCCAAGAAGAATCTACCTAATGATCAACACAGTTCTTCCCACACATTGGACTCTACCCTGTGCTCCCTTCTGCTCTCGCGTTGCAGAAGAATATTATGTTTACATAATGAGACCATCCTCAAGGTACAAGACAGCCAAGCTGGGATTTTACATAGGAAACGGTCCTAAGTATAATGTAAAGGTAGAGCATTTAAAATACTGCACTGAACCCAGCCATGATGAGACATGCCTGTAATCCCAACACTTTGGGAGGCTGAGACTGAAACATTACAAGTTCAAACCCAGCCTTGGCAATTTAGCAACTTAATGAGACCCCGAGGTCTCAAAAGGACTGAGAATATAGCTCAATGCAAAAGGCCTGATTTCAATCCCCAATACCACCAAAAAATCTCAAAATTCCATTTTTCTCATCTGAAAATATAGGGATAATGAACCCCAGTGGCCCATGGTGAGAACGCCTGAGATTTTGTACTACAGACCAGCAGATGGCCAGTGTCTACCATTTTCTCTTACCTTCAAGTAGAAATTGGAATTTTATTTCCAGCTACCACGCAGAACCTGGCCTGAGGCAGGGGCTTCATAAATAGCTCAGGAATGAATAAGAGTGGGTGGATGGGTTCTACAAAGTAGTATTAGTGATTTTCCTTTTTTCTGCTACAACAGACTTAGGGTTTATATCTTACTCTTTTAAATCTTATTCCTAACTTGGACATACACTATTCATTAACCAGCGCTTTTGGTTTTGATTTTAATTTGTTAGCTACTACTGTGTTGAATTCATGTAACGGGCAGCTGCTATTCCGTGCCACCAGATGGCGTCTATCAATAGTAACCTCCAAAACTATGACACCTACTCTGCCAGGTAATGATTTTAAAGAAACCAATACAGAAAAGGAATATATTCATTTATATACATGTACATTATGCATATATTCACTTTTTACATATAATTCCTTAAATATTGGGGATGAATCCAGAGCTGTCTCTAACTTGGCAAACCACTTTCTTTCCTAATTTTAACTGTCTTCTGTAACAACATTTTAAAGTTGTTAATTAAACTCTAAGCAGCCTCAAAGTGCAAGACATTTCACAGTACGTACCTGGAGACAAATAGGAAGTGCCAAGTCCAGCGAGGGTTCAGCTGCAGCTCAGAAAGCTGGGTCACAGGCCTAGGTCTTGTAGGAAACCAGTAGTCCT